AGGAGTGCTGCATCTGTTAGGTGAAGCAGAGCTTCTGGCCTGAGCAGTGATCTGCTGGTGATGCTGGAGGGCCAGTCTTGCGATCACTGTGCTGAGAAGAGATGATGTGACAGCTGAGGAGCAAAATGTGATGAGTCTCTTGAAGAGAGCAGTGTAAACACTGAAAATCTTGTCTGTGGACGTAAGGAATCCTTATACACAGAGAGCCGAGAATTTGTTCTTAGAATAATTGAAACAGTAAGTCTGATTGTATTAGCCCAGATTTAATTACTTCAGAGAAAGATAAGAGATGCTATGTGTTACCCTGAAACCACTTTTGCTCAGCTCCAGGTCTGTGTTTCTGCTGCTGATCATTGAGTTTGTTCCCAGCACTTCCAGGCTTTTGCCACCCCATGCTTATCACATCAAATGTGCCCACTTCTCAAGGTCTTATACCATACCAGCCCTCTATTTCTCTGTATTAGTGTCATAAAACCATAAAAAGATAAAGAAACATAAATAAGTCATAGTTGCTTGGTAAAATAGAAGAGTTGCTCTCAGCTAATCCATGTGAAGCAAGGCTGCCAGAGCAAACCTGGCAAGCTGAATTCCTGAGGTCTTGCAAACTGTGGGTCAGGAGGAGAGCACCTCTGCAGCGGCATGATCATTGCTGAGGGAGTTCTGTGCAACCCAGCCTCTTCCTGCTCTCACATCCTGCTGGCACACGCTCTGCAGAACTCTTGCGCATGTGCTTACAGCCAGCATTGCATCTTTTGCACCTTGAGCATGTGTGTCGCTGAGTTAAGACAGAATTTCCCTCTGTTTTTGACTCATTTCTGTAGAGGCAAAGTAAAACCAGAGTCATTACAGATCTGTTTTACAGTTTACTGTTTTACTGTTGCTTCCCAGTTTTGTATGTCAGTTTTTTGTCTGGCTGCATTTATGTGACATTCATATTCAGCAGCTGTTTACCTTTACACCTGCACTACAAGAAATAGGTTAAATTTGTCCACATTTTTAGGTGAAAAATGCATTTTCTTTTTCTGAGAGCAAGTCCAGAATGCCCTCCATTTGTCATTATTTTCACCTTCCCTGCTCATGTTCATTAATGCATCTTCCATCTCCTGACCTGTTGTCCGTGCTTTGTCTTAAAAGCTCCCTTTCTTGTTACATGTCCTGTGTAAGCAGCTGCCTCAGCTCCTGGCTGCAACTGGTTGCTGATTCCCCTCTCTGAGCTCACGCTGATGTTTTATCAACCATAGTGCCTGTATATGGAGAGCCCAGTATATGTAAATCTGCTGCCCTTGCTCTTTATGATCAGCTCATGCAGAGGAGCAGTAGACATTGTGCATTAACTGACTTTACAGTTTCTCAGCTTTCTCTGCTCAGAGAGGCTGAGTACTTCCTTCTGTTGCAGCACATTTCCTTCTTCCAGCTGTTTGCTCTTTTCAGCCGCTCCCTACTGCACCTAGGCCTGTTCAGGCAGCTGGCCCTCTGTGGGGCCCTCTGTTTGCCCAGCTTCTTGGTCAGCTTCCTGCGTCTCTCCTGTCTGCTCTGTGCAGAGAACTGAAATTCTTCTGAGGGCACTGCTTGGGATGTTGCTGTGCTTGCTTACCTCACACTTTGAAGAAGTGGCACACATCTGTTCCGAGCTTTCTGACTACCTCTGTCCATGCCACTGTCCTGCCACTGGTGGCAAAGGCTGAGCCTTTTTAGAGTAGAAGCTTTCACTAGGACAGTGTTTGCTCTATCCTTCATTCATACCACATAAGATCATAGAATTGTTTGGGTTGGAAGGCATCTTCATCTTTGGTCATCTAGTCCAACTCCTCTGCAATGAACAGGGGTATGTAGCAGAAGCTAAGCAAGGATACCCTGTTTTGCACTGCACCATAGTCTCCAAGGGGACAGTTTCTAGCTCTGTTCAGAAGCTGGTGTGTGTTTTGGTTACATGTCCTGTGCTTCCAACAGGGCCATAAAGTTTGAGTGGGAGGCCACTCCTTTCTTGTGTGCGGGCTGGCCATTCTGGATGGCATTGCCACTGCTTTTCTGCCAAAGGTGGGGCAGTGCTGGATGTCAGAATTGCTCTTGGCCTTTTATGTGATGGAGTAATGTCAGTGCCAACTTGGGTAGCAGCAGCATGTGAAGAGGATAAAGGCAAAGTTTTTTTCCTGCTCAGTTCAGTTCT